AAAAAAAAAAAAAAAAAAAAAAAAAAAAAAAAAAAGAACCTTGGGGGGCACCTGGGTGGCTCAGTCAATTGAGCGTCCTCCAACTTTGGCTCAGGTCATGATCTCACAGTTTGTGAGTTCAAACCCGTGTCAGGCTCAGAGCCCAGAACCTGCTTCAGATTCTGTGTCTCCCTCTCTCTCGGTCCCTCCCCCACTTGCACTTTCTCTTGCTTGCAAAGAGAAATACTTTGCAAGAAATACTTGCAAAAATAAGTATTAAATTTTTTTTTTAAAATACCATAACTTTGTTTCTTCTGCCTCTAATTCTAGTATATGTTCATTGCATAGGTTTAAGGGAAATTATTAAACAAAAGCCCTCCAGCCACTAGAAAAAGCCGCTGTAGTGTTTTAGAGTGCAGCTTCGTTCTCTTTTCTTGTGTGGCCACTGTTAGGTTCCTCACCACCTGCCTGCATTGTACTCAAGCACTTTCCTGTCATTTCCCCTAAACCTCCCAGCAACTTCTCGTGGGTACAAATAATCATGCCCACCTCGCTGCCACTCTACCCCGGAGATGAACTCAGTTTGAATCTGTTCTGTAACCAGCTTTTCTTACTGAAGATCTTATAATGAGTGCTTTCTCCAAAACCTAAACACCAGAAATCTGCATGCAACTTGGGTTCAGGAGGTGGGAGCTGAGTGGTGAGGGGGGCACCAGGTATCCCCAGAAGGGGCCACTGCAGACAGGGAAGGGTGGGGAGGTATGTGGGAGGGGTGGGAAGCTGTCACAGCTCGGCAGAGGTCTACACGGAACTGTATCCAAAGCTCCCTTGGGGACCATGCTTTCCTGTTGAGTGTGGGGGGCTCACAGCTGGAGAGACAGGCTCTCTGGACACTGAAGTGGACCGTGGTCCTTACTGTTACAGCTACAACTCATTACCCCTCTCTGCAGGCTGGCCACTAGTCCCGATCTGCAACGAGGAAACCGAGGCCACTTGCGGCATCATACAGGGAATAACAGAGTTGAGACCCTTGCCCACATCCTGAGACCTCAAGTCCGGACCTTTCCATGGTGCCATGCTGCATGTGCCGGTGGTCAGGAGAGGCCCGTTGCTAGGGGCACCCACACGACTGTGTCTGAAGCTAGTTCCTGATGGGGCTGAACAGTAGGGGGCCAGGTGGAGCGGGTGGAAGTGAACACGAGGCCCCGGCCCAGCAGCGCACTCTCCAGCACGCGGACCGAGCCCATCCCTGTGGGGGCTCCGGCTTATGAAGCAGAGCTGGTGGAGGCAGAGCGCTGGGAACCCTCCTGAGGCTCCCGGTGTGCGGCGCCCGGCCACAGGAGGGCTGCCCCGGGCGCGTGCGCACTCACCCTGTGCTGCCACTCCTCCACCTCGTCCTCCTTGCGCCGCCGGGCCTCCTCCAGGAGCGCGATCTTGGCGGTGTACTCTGCCAGCTCCGCGGCCTGCGGAAGCGCACAGAGCTCGAATTATTTCTGGGGTCTCCGGGCCGAGCCCTCTTGCCAACAGCCAGCCACATGTTTTGGTGACTGGCCCTTGTAACCAAGCCAGCCCCGACCCCGCCTCCTCCCCAGCCAACAGTGCCCACTGGTGCCCGCTGTGTCCTCGAGGCCACGCCTCGCCTGAACGACCACGTCTGGCCCCTTGGACCGGCCAAGGTGGGGCCTCCGAGGTCCACCCATCAGGATGGACTCTCCCACCGGGCTTTAAGGCCTCGAGCAGGTGGTTTCCCAGCCGTGGACACAAAGGCCCAGGCAGCAGTGTCACTCTGCCATCCCCAGAGGCGGCCTCTCCAGGACCCCCAAGGCGCCCCTACCAGCTGCTCCTGGCTCTTCATCTGATCGGCCGCCTGCCGCTCCAGCTCCTCCTTGGCCCGCAGAGCGGCCACGCGGTCAGCCTCCAGGCGCTCCGCCTCCTCCTGGGCGCGCTTCCTCTCCTCCTCCAGCTGCAGGGCTCTCTGAATCTGGTCCGAGAGTTCTACAGAGAGCACAGACCTGGGGCTGCTCAACGGCTTCGGCCAGGGGCCCCAAAATCCCAGCCCGGATGCCCAGGACGGGGTCCGGAATGGGGATGACCCCCCCCACCCCCCGCCGGCTACAAAGCACTGCACTGGGGGCTCTGCCTCCACAGACACCGGAGGGAAAGCACTCTGGGGTGCATTCCTACTGCGTGCGCAGACATCCTCACCGTGGTCAGAGGCTGCTGCGCAGGGATTCTCCCTCCCACCGGCCAGGCTCTCCTGGGAAACGCAGAAACTACACCGCTTAACCGGGACTTAGTTTATCAGACGGGGGGCCATGTGACATGGTTTGGGCACTCACTAGCCGTGAGACCTTGGGCAAATTATTTTACCTGCTAACCCTTAACATGGTCATCAGGAAAAGGGGGGTAACTCAGAACCCCAAAGGAGGGAAAATGTGGAAGGGTACCGTGCAGAAAGCATTTAGCACAGAACCACACAGAATCCTCAGATCCACCCCCTTCACCAGCGTGGGTCCGCAAGCCCCCGCTGTGGTGCTGTTAACAGGAGACGGTGCTGGCCATGAGCTGCCGGCTGAGGGACGCG